CAAACTCCCTACCTCCACCCAGTTCCAGGCCTGGAAGATGGTCTTGGCAGGAGGCTGGGGTGGGGAAGGGATCAGTAGGAGGAGGCCCAAGGGACTTCTGCATGTTGGGGAGCGGGGCGGGATAGAATGACAGACCCTCAAGTCTAAGGAGCACCTCCTGAGGTCACTCCTTGCCTTTAAGGCTCTCCGGAGGAGTGTCAGACAGACACCTCAGAAATAACTGTAAATAAGATGTTAAAGCAGGTGTGAGGCGGGAATTATTATTTCGAGACAGAGTCTCGCTCTGTCACCTAGGCTGGAGTGCAGTGGTGTGATCTTGGCTCATTGCAACCTCTCCCTTCCAGGTTCAAGTGATTCTCCTGCTTCAGCCTCCTGAGTAGCTGGGATTACAGGCGCCTGCCACTATGCCTGGCTAATTTTTGTATTTTTAGTAGAGGCTGGGTTTTACCACGTTGGTCAAGCTGGTCTGGAACTCCGGACCTTGTGATCTGCCAGCCTCAGCCTCCTAAAGTGCTGGGATTACAGGCGTGAGCCATTGCACCCAGCCGGGAATTATTAATTCTAAGCGGGGAGGAACTTTGCAGAAGGAGGTAGGAGGTTTGAGAAGAAAGGGAGCCAGAAGCTGAAGGGAGCAGAGAGGGAGGGAGGAAGGGAAGGGGACATCCAGTGCCCAGTAGGCTCTGTACTCAGCAGAACTGGGTTGAACCCTGACCCTTCCACTTTCCTGCTGTGTGACTTTGCATGAGTCATTTCACCTCTCTGAGCTCCAGGCTGTCCTTTGTCAATAATCTGGACCTTGCAGGCATAAGCAGCATCAAATAAGGCAATGTGTATGCAGACTGGAACGATACCTGGTCTGAGATCCAGCCAGTAGTGTGTTTTAAGAAGGGAATGGAGTGGGGAAGCCCTGAGGTTTCCCCTGTATGTACAGGAGAGCCAGGCACCACCTGCCAGGTCCCAGCAACATGGGGCATGGGTGGAGTACCTGGGCATGTGGGTGGCACTCACTGAGGCCAGGAGGCCCCACACCCAGCTGTCTCCTGATTGGCCCATCCCTGCACCTCCTAGACCAGGGCTAGCCTCCCTCCTGTAGGTCCCAGGTGCCAACAGAAGCTCCCAGGCCACCTTACTCCCTAGACCAGTGTGGGTGGAGCCCTGGCAGGGCAGGGTCGGCACGCTCTCTGCAGAATGGACCATGGCCAGCAGCCTGGCTGGCCGTGCTGGGCAGAAACATCTCAGTCTGGCTAGGAAGCTGCTGACGCTGTGCAGGCCCCATGGAGGCCCAGACCTCTGTTGGCTGGAGGTGGGCCCAGCTCATAGAACCTAGGCTGCAGGGTGAGACTGAGGCTGGGGTGGGAGTGAGGAGGGGAGATGCAAGGAGAGACTCCTGGAAAGGAATCCTAAGCAGAGGTGTGGAATCAAACTGAACTTCATTTGGTTATTCTCTAAGCCTTTCTTGAGCACCTGCTGTGCACCACATACAGGTCTGCCAGAGACAGAGCTGAACAGGATACTCACAGACGACTCAGCATAGAGTTATGGTGGCCTGAGATTTGTTAAGGATTTGCAGAATGACTCTGGACGACAGTTCCTGGGGATAGGGGAGTTCAGAATTTTCCCGGGGCGTAAGATTCTGATATTAGTTTAATTTAATTTAATTTAATTTAATTTTTTTGAGACTGACTCTCACTCTGTCACCCAGGCTGGAGTGCAGTGGCACAATCTTGGCTCACTGCAACCTCCACCTCTAAGGTTCAAGCAATTATCTTGCCTCAGCCTGCCATGTAGCTGGGATTACAGGCACCTGCCACCACACCTGGCTAATTTTTGTATTTTTAGTAGAGACAGGATTTTGCCATGTTGGCCAGGCTGGTCTCGATCTCCTGACCTCAGGTGATCTGCTTGCCTCGGCCTCCCAAAGTGCTGGGATTACAGGCGTGAGCCACCACACCCGGCTGATTCTGATATTTATTTATTTATTTTTATTTAATTTATTTTTTTGAGATGGAGTCTTGCTCTGTCACTAAGGCTGGAGTGCAATGGCATGATCTCTGCTTACCGCAACCTCCACCTCCTGGGTTCAAGCATTCTCCTGCCTCAGCCTCCCAAGTAGCTGGGATTACAGGCATGTGCCACTAATTTTTTTAGGGGTGTGTATTTTTAGTAGAGATGGGGTTTCACCATGTTGACTAGGCTGGTCTTGAATTCCTGACCTTGTGATCCACGTGCCTCAGCCTCCCAAAGTGTTGGTATTACAGGCACAGGCCACTGCGCCCAGCCTCTGATATTTATTTTTATTTTTTGAGATAGTGTCTTGTTCTGTTGCCCAGGCTGGAGTGCAGTGGCATGCTGTTGGCTCACTGCGACCTCTACCTCCCAGGTTCAAGCGATTCTCCTGCCTCAGCCTCCCGAGGAGCTGGGACTACAGGCAAGTGCTACCATATCCAGCTAATTTTTTTTTTTGTATTTTAAGTAGAGACAGAGCTTCACTGTGTTAGCCAGGATGATCTCGATCTCCTGACCTTGTAATCCGCCTACCTTGGCCTCCCAAAGTGCTGGGATTACAGGCATGAGCCACCATGCCTGGCTGATTCTGATATTTATTAAAGGGGACAGGATTCCATTTCTTTATAGACTGCAGGCCAGTCACTTTTTTCTCTGGGTTTCAGTTTCCCTTTCCTTGAAATGAGTAGGGGAGATAAGTCTAAAGTCTCCATGGGTCTTCCAGCACCTATTACTATAGCCTCAGGACCTGGTCTGGGACTTAGTCTACCCCCTACCCTCACCCCACATGAGGGGATAGGATGGAACGAGGTGAAGGCTGGGTATGATGGGCCCACAGGTCCTGTTCTTGGCCTGTGTTCTCTAATCATAGTTACAGCCACTGCCTGTTAAGCAATTACTATGCACAGCATTCTGTTCTAAGCCTTTAATATGCTGCATTAACTCATTCAATCCTTACAACCTCATGAGGGAAATATTCTTCCTGTTTTGCAGGAGTTTAGGGAGGTGAACAGACTTGACCAAAGTCACAAAGCTGGGGAATGGCTGAGCTGGGATTTGAACTTAGGTTCAACTCCAAAGCCCAGACTTAACTAAGAGTGGGAGCCTCCACCCCACGGGTGCTGAGGTGCCCACATTGCTCAGCCCTTACTTGTGGAGCTGTTTGACCCTTGCTGGAGTAAGCTCTGAGCTCTGGGATGTTGAGGCTGGGGAGCTGGGGAACAAGCTGTGCTGCCTATGTTGGGTGGCCCCTGGGCCCAGTGTAGAGAGAAAGGGGCAGAGGGAGCAATGTGCAGGTCAGATAGGGCCCACTAGGGGTTTCCCCAGAGGGCAGCCACACCCAGCTACTGCCCAGGTGCAAGACTGGGCACTGAAAGGCAACCTTGGGTATGTGGCCAACTTTAGACCGCAGTTTCCCCATCTGTAAAGCATAGTCTTAAATGAGCGTAGACATTCCTTGACCCCTGGGTTAGTGGCTGAGGTCAGCAATAGGATAAAGGGTAAGAGGAGGGCTTGGAGTGACAGCGACTGAGTCTGTGAAGGAAGAGTTTGGGTCAGGAACAGCTTGGATCCTTGGCCAGCTGTTTGACAGCCATTCAGGTGAAGAGACTGGGGTTGGAGAGGTTCAAAGGCTTGTCTGTGCAGCCAGTACCTAGAGACTGAAAGGAAACAAATCAAGAGAAAACTTGGAGAACAAAATCCAGGCAGATGTGAGCTAGAATCCTGGGTTGGCCACTTAACTAGGCTTGGAGGTGTGAAGTGTCACCCCTGAGGACACAGGAAAGAGTCCCTTCACCTCACTGTCCTCATCTTTAAAGTGGGAATAGTAATAATTTCTCCGTTGGCCACTTCCTGGGTTTTTGTGAAGGTTAAAGGAGGTGAGGCATTTATAGAATCAGGTGAGAATGTGGTTGCTGGTTATTTTTCAGTCCAAAGATATAGTTCTGTGTGTGTGTTTGTGGTGGTGGAGAGCATTTGTGACAGCTCCTCTTTATCCTGGGGTTGTGCTGGAGAGAAGACCTAAGAATAACACCACTGGCTGGGCAAGCGGTGGCTCACACCTGTAATCCCAGCATTTTGGGAGGCCGATGCAGGTGGATCACCTGAGGTCGGGAGTTCAAGACCAGACTGGACAACATGGTGAAACCCCGTCTCTACTAAAAATACAAAAAATTAGCTGGGCATGGTGGTGGCCGCCTATAATCCCAGCTGCTTGAGAGGTTGAGGCAGGAGAATCGTTTGAACCCAGGAGACAGAGGTTGCAGTGAGCCAAGATAGCGCCACTGCACTCCAGCCTGGGCAACAGGAACGAGATTCTGTCCCCCGCCCCGCCCCCCGCGCTCAAAAAAAAAAAAAGCATTGTTCCAGATGTTTTACATGTATTAACTCATGTAATCCTCACATCAACCCTGCAAGGTGGCTATTAATACTATCTCCAGTTTGCAGATGAATAAATGAGGCATAGAGAAATTTAAAAAATGGTCCCAATGTCACAAAAGGTAGAGCCATAAATAGTAAAGTCAGGATTTGCCCACGTTCTTTTTTTTTTTTTTTTTTCAAGATAGAGTCTTACTCTATTGTCCAGGCTGGAGTGCAGTGGTGCGATCTTGGCTCACTGCAACCTCTGCCTTCCAGGTTCAAGCAATTCTTGTGCCTTAGCCTCCTGAGTAGCTAGGATTACAGGTGCCTGCCACCATGCCTGGCTAATTTTGTATTTTTAGTAGAGGTGAGGTTTCACAGTGTTGGCCAGGCTAGTCTCAAACTCCTGACCTCAATTGTTCTGCCTGCTTCGGCCTCCCAAAGTGCTGGGATTACAGGTGTCAGGTTCTTTTATTTTGAGACAGGGTCTCACTCTGTCGCCCAGGCTAGAGTATAATGGGGTGATCACAGTTCACTGCAGCCTCAACCTCCTGAGCTCAAGGGAGCCTCCTACCTCGGCCTCCCAAGTAGCTAGGACTATATCGGCATGCAGCCACACGCAGCTAACTTTTGGACTTTTTGTAGAGATGGGGTTTCGCCATGTTGCCCAGGTTGGTCTTGAACTCCTGAGCTCAAACAAGCCTCCCACCTCAGCCTCCCAAAGTGCTGGGATTATAGGTGTGAGGTACTGCGCCCGGCTGGCCCAGGTTCTTAAAGTCTCCTCCTTGACGTACTCATCACAGCTGTAATTCAGTATTTACATAATTGTCTCCCCACTGCCTTGTAGGCTCCATAAGGGGAGGGGGCATGTCTGTCTTCTTCAGACTGTATCCCCAACTCCTGGCACACAGCAGGTGCTCAGTTAATGTTTGTTCACAGGGATTCTGTTGCCTCTAGTGGACTGGGACCTGGAGGCCTGATGAGCTGAGGGTGGATTATCAGATTATTGCTGACAAGGGTGTCTGCCCCAGCAAGACCCCATAGGCAGAGGGAGGGCAGGGTTCCCTCCTGGCCCAGGCCCTGGCTGAAGAAGGGCCCCCAAGGGCTTGTTCTTGGCTGTGCTGTGTGTCTCACTGCTGTTCTTTGCTTCCATGTGCCACTGCGGTGATGGCTCCATGGCCTCTCCTGGACTGGCTGCGTGACCCCCAACGGCTGCTTCTGGGTGAGTAATGGTTTGACTTAACGACTGCCACGTGAGCTGATTTTAATGTGCGTCCTGTGGCTTTGAGGCTGCTGGGAAGCGTAAAGAGATGCCCGGGGGTAGGGGCAGAAACGCTGGGCTAGGGCTATCTGTGAAGTTATTGTCCTACCACAAGCAGGGCCTACAAATTAAACACACTGGGTGCTGATTTTTTGGTCACACAGTACAGTGCAAAGGCCTTTGGGGCAGACTGGCTTGGAATAGAATCGTTTTCTGTCACTTACAGCTGGGTGATTCTTTGCATCTCAATTTCATGTCTGCAAAATAAGAAAATGAATACTTACGGGACACAAGTATATTTGTTCTTTTATTCATGTAAGCCCCACAAGGGCAGGGATTTTTGTTCATCTATTCACTGCTGTATCTCTGGCACCTAGGGTGTAGTAGCTCATAGTAGGTGCTCAATGAATGTTTCCAAAGGAATGAAGATATTTATTGACTGTTTATGGTTCACCTATCAATGTGCTTGGTTTTGGATTAAATGGCTAATGGATATAAAGAGCCCAGCATGATAGGGGCTCAGTGAATGTGAATCACCTATTTGCTCAATAGACTGACTTTCTTGGGGACCAGGGCTCTGGTAAAGTGAGCTCTGGGTCATCTGCACTTAGTAAGGGGCCAAGAACCCAACATGTATCAATCAGCACAGATAGGGGCCTAGGCAGTTGGACTTCCTGGAAGGGAGTGATAGAGCCTCTAATTTTTTTTTTTTTTTTTTAAAGATGGGGTTTCACCATGATGGCCAGGCTGGTTTTGAACTCCTGAATTCAGGTGATCCACCCATCTCGGCCTCCCAAAGTGCTAGGATTACAGGCGTGAGCCACCACACCCAGCGAGCCTCTAGTTTTCATCAGAAGAGAGAGGCAGCTGGGAAGATCTGGGGCAGAATGGGAGAGATGGGAAGGGACTCTGCCCTTCTAGTATTGCCACGTTCCTAGCTGTGTGACCCTGGACAAGGCATGCTCTTCTCTGAGTCTTGGAGAACTCATCTGTGTTGTATATATCTCAACATTTTCCCCGCATAGGTGTGGGAAGGAGTTGGTGAGAAGAACCCAGCACAGGGCCCCATTTGGTAATTGTTGTTTCTTCCCAGCTCTGGGCTCATTTTACAATTCTGGGAGAGGACTAAGTGTTCCTCGTTCTGGCTCCTTTCTCCTACTTTTTTCCTTTTTTTTTTTTTGAGACAGGCTCTAGTTCTATTGCCCAGGCTAGAGTGCAGTGGCGTGGTCTCGGCTCACTGCAACCTCCACCAGGTTCAAGCGATTCTCCTGCCTCAGCCTCCCAAGTAGCTGGGATTACAGGTGCCCACCACCATGCCCGACTAATTTTTATATTTTTTAGTAGAGGCAGGGTTTCACTGTGCTGGCCAGGCTGGTCTTGAACTCCTGACCTTGTGATCTACCCGCCTCGGCCTCCCAAAGTGCTAGGATTACAAGCCTACTTTTAACTTCTCACCCAGCTGGGACTGGAATCCCAGGAGCCCCTGAACTTCCCAGCAGGCTGACCAGGGGGCCCTGGGACTAGGGTTGGGCTCTGCCTGGTGTGGGAGGAGCTGAGTGGAGGTTCCAGCTCAACCACTCTTGCTGTGTGACTTAGTTCTGTAACCCATTCTCTGCCTCGGTTGCCTTACCTGTAAAGTAGGGTTATTAAAAGGCACCTCCCTTGAAGAACTGTTTAATTAGAGAATAGGCAGATTAGGCATTATTATCCCTATTGTTATTTGGCTCTGGCTGAGGTGGCTCTAGGGAGGGCCCTGGAGAAATACATCCCACCGTGGCCCAGGGAGCCCGGGACTCTCTAGTCATCATGTATATTATTGCCATTTATTGGCTGTTTCTTAGGGGCTGGGCAGGTTATGTGCTATTTCAGACACATTATCTCATGCACTCCTCCTAGCAACCTAGGAGACTCTCTTTTTTTTTTTTTTTTTTTTTTTTTTTTTTTGAGACGGAGTTTCGCTCTTGTTACCCAGGCTGGAGTGCAATGGCGCGATCTCGGCTCACTGCAACCTCTGCCTCCTGGGTTCAGGCAGTTCTCCTGCCTCAGCCTCCTGAGTAGCTGGGATTACAGGCACGCGCCACCATGCCCAGCTGATTTTTTGTATTTTTAGTAGAGACAGGGTTTCACCATGTTGACCAGGATGGTCTCGATCTCTTGACCTCGTGATCCACCCGCCTCGGCCTCCCAAAGTGCTGGGATTACAGGCTTGAGCCACCGCGCCCGGCCAGGAGACTCTCTTAAGCAGGCATTATCATCCCCACTTCATGGCACTGGGTAAGTCAAGTGAGTCACTCAGAATTCCACAGTTCTTTAGGGTTGCAGCTGGGGCTCAGACCCAAGCTCACTCCAAGGCCCAAATTCTATTTATTTATTTACTTTTTCGATGATGTCTTCCTCTGTTGCCCAGGCTAGAGAGCAGTGGTGTGTTCTTGGCTGACTGCAACCTCCGTCTCCCGGGTTCAAATGATTCTCCTGTCTCAGCTCCTGAGTAACCGGGACCACAGACATGTGCCACGACGCCCGGCTAATTTTTATAGTTTTAATAGAGATGAGGTTTTACCATATTTGTCAGGCTGCTGTCAAACTCCTGACCTCAGGTGATCCAGCCGCCTCAGCCTCCCAGAGTGCTGGGATTACAGGTGTGAGCCACCGCACCTGGCCGTACGGCCCAAATTCTTAGTGTGAAACTCTCTTGTCTCCCCCAGGGAGGCAGAGTCCACATCTAAGTTCTCTTTGTCCATCTCCAGTGACCAGTACAGGGCTGGTGGGAGCTACTGGCGTGTTTGTCAGATGAATAAATTCACGCACACACGCTGCACCCCCACCCAGGCCTGCTGCTGTTAGAGTTTAAAGAGAAAAGATAACAGAAAACAGGAGACGCCTGGACAGCCTGGTGCTTGAGGGTCAGCCAGGCCTGGCTTTGAATCTTGTACCTCCTGTTTACCAGTTGCGTGACCTTAGGCAAGATATCTAACCTCTTGGAGCCTTGGCTTCCTTACCTGTAAAGTGGAGATAACTACCTATCTCTTAGACTTCTTGTGAGTATTAAGTAAGAGGCCCATGTGAGCATTCAACAAATAGTAACAGCAGTTGTTGTTACTATTATAATTATGAACATTATTTGGGGATTATAAAGATGTTCCTCTTGGGATAGGAGAGACCAGGTCTCGGAGAGAACTGCTGGGGATGGGTGAATAGCAGCCTAGTCTGACAGGCTCCTAAGGCATGTGAAGGGAGGGAGGTGGCCTCATGGAAGTAAGAACATACCTCCCTTTCCTAGTCATCTGCTTTTCCTCTGTGTCAGGCCCTGTGCTGGGCATGGGGCCCAGAGATGAATCTGTGTGGTCCTTTCCCACCTTCCCCACGAGGAGCTCAGAGTCTAGTTGGGAACAAGGATCCAGAAACTACCAACTCCACCTTTATCGAATAGGTGTTCTTAGGCAGAAGGAAGGAAAGGAGATTCTAATGGAAGGAACTGCATGTGCCATTAGAGACATGACCTGCACTTGGGGGAATGCAGCTGAAGACCCAGTGAAGAGGATTTGACCCATAGCAATGGGGAGCTACTGGATATTAAGCAGGGAGGGGCAGGGACAGGGGCAGGGGGAACTGTCCAGGCAAGAGATGCCGAGATCTTGGGCGGGGGACTGTGCCGTGGGATGGGAGCAGTGGGCAACAGGAAGTCTGTTCAGGAGGCAGAGCCAGCAGGGCACGATAATGAACTACAGCGGCCAGGGAGGAGAGGAGAGGGCCAGAGAGACCTTGGGGCCTGGGGCCAATGGGCCCACTGGGGTCTCTGGCTGAGGGACAGATCTGGGAGGAGGAGGCAGAGCTGGGTTGAGGGTAAAAGCCATTCAACTGCTCTCACTACCTTTCCCCTCAGCTTCCCAGGCAGCAGTTATGTCTAAGCTGGACACTGGGGCAAAGCCTGTGGCCACCAGGGCCCAGGGCTCCCACTCCTATCTCGGGGGTCCCTTGTGGTGACCCTGGTAGGTCCAGTAGGGATGAGATCTCTTTGGCGTGGGAGTCAGCCAGGAGCTGTGTGGTACAGAAAAGCCCTGGGTTCTAGACCTACCAGTGTTACTGAATGTCTGTGGGACCTCAGGAATTGCCAGGTGTCGTGGCTCACACCTGTAATCCCAACACTTTGGGAGGCTGAGGCAGGAGGATCACTTGTGCCCGAGAGTTCAAGACAAGCCTAGGCAACATGGAGCAACCCCATCTCCACAAAAATACAAAAATCAGCTGGGCATTGTGCTTGTGCCTGATGTTCCAGCTACTTGGGAGGCTGAGGTGGGAGGATCCCTGAGCCCACAAGAATGAGGCTGCAGTGAGCTGTGATTACACCATTATACTCCATCCTGGGTGATAAAGTGAGACCCATGTAGGAAGGAAAGAAGGAAAGAAGGAAGGGAAGGGAAGGGAAGGGAGGAAAGGAAGGGAAGGAAAAGAAAGAACTGCCATCACTCCCTCTCTCTTGCCCTCCTTTTCCTTGCCTTGAGAGTGAGAATAAGAAAACCTGTTTTGCTTGCCTCAAAGATTCAGTGATAAAATACAACTAGAGATAGCAAACATTTATTAAGAACTGACATGCTAGGTTCTGGGGACACCAAGGTGACTCACACAGGGTTCCTGCTCCTTATGGATGAATCGCCATTTGCAGAAGGAGCCCAGGGGAGCAGGTGGTTAACTCTTTCAGGGACTCAGGGGAAAAGAGCTGGGCTGGGCTTTGAAGGATGAGTAAGAGCTCTCTAGGCAGGCAATGGCGGGAACAACTTTCTAGGTACAGGGAACAGGATGTGTCAAGGTTCAAGTCTGCATACTGTGCTCAGGATAGATGAGCACTGTCATTGGTATGGCTGGATCACAAAGGGAGAGGCGGGCAGTGACAGGGGATGAGGCTGATCAGGGAAGCAGGGCCCAAGTCAGGCAGGGCTCTGGGGAGGCCCCAGCTTCTCCCC